GATTAAAGTTTACACCTCCATGTGTGAATTTTAGTATTGGAGGAGGTGGATTTTTTGAATTGGCTTTGGAGCAAAGTAGATGTCATATTAGTAATGGAACTATTATTCGTAACCATTGATCAAGGTGTGCATAATGTATGCTTTCCAATCCATTTACTTACAGAAAACATGTAACAACATTAGGCATTCGAACATGAAGAAATTATTCAGAAATTACGATTCTTCATTCATAGTTTCTTTATGGAGTAAAATACACTTACAACTATATAATTTGCCACAGTTTTAGCCAGAGGAAAAATCACATATCGTTTTGCAACTCAGACAAATTGATTAAGAAACTCATCTACAGTGGTGTATTTAACATCAGGATAGAGAGTTGTAGCTTCAACTCCAAATGATGCCTCAATTTCAAAGTTAGTATGATCCCCTTTTATATACACACAATGAGCGAGCGAGAACATCGTACTTAACGAAGATGACTCTGAAAGAAACAAAAATAAAATAAAATAAGTTATTTGTGTTTTTATCCAGATTGAATTATGTTCAATAATAGGCATGAGGGTTGTTATCTCATCTCTTGTAAAACAGGCTTGTAACGTGAGGTTCACATGTAATGTGGGATTCTTTTAATAGTTACTAACCTTGAATTTGTTTGAGTACCTCTTCCTCGGGGACATAGATTCTTTCAAGAGTTTTACCGATCTTCTTCTCCCATAGTGATACCAGATCACTAAAAGACAATTTATTATGTTTTGGTCTAACGTACAAAATTTTGTTCAAGGTTCTTGGATCATCAAAAACTTTGATTGTATAAGCAGCAATATCCTCTTCCTTGTTAAAAACAACTGTAAATAATTAACCAAGCAAAAGTCATTAGTTAGGACATAGAGATATTTAGTGAAATTTAATGTAAACGTGTCTCTAGTTTTATTTCACCTTTGGTATTTCCATCTCCTAGGATAACAACTTTATCTCTTGGTGGAGCTGTGGCTCCAAACTGTGACAAAGTATATAGGAAATAAGCAGCAAAGAAGTTGTTTGACACATAAGTGTATGGAACTTTCATTTCATTTGTAATTCCCTTTCATTTTTTCATTTAAAATTTTCCAATATTGGATTCATCTAAATAACAACATTATACTTTATCACCATATAATATCACAATTTGTTACATCATTGAAAAATGTCATTATCTATCAAGATGCTGTCAAACTGAAAATTGTTAAAGTTTATTACAGAGAAAAAAAGATGCAGTATCATAACAGTGTGATGTTCTATGCGGTGGAAATAAGAATTAATGCATTGACATATCATTTTTTACTATTTTTTAAAGTTGGATTGATGATATTTGTAGGATACTCTGGTGTTGGAAGGGACCTTTATCCCACAAGGACGGCAAGATATTTTGACAGAAGCCACAGGGCGAGGTGAGCACCCTGGTCGTATTCGTGCTGTTGGTCAAGGTGTGGGGATTCAACAATTCTTTATATCCCATTCTCGTAAACATTTTAGTACCCCACCTATTATGAATAAGGACCAAATAGAGACCATAAAGGCCGAGCTTACTAAGGAGATTAGAGAGCAAGTGATGCGGGATATATCATCTTTGCCAGCTTTTTCTCAAAAATACCCAAATGACCCTGTTTGTTCTCCTAATACCAATTTACAATATGCAAGCACAAAGGGTAGTTTTTCAAGGGTGCCGCATATGCCAAATGATGATCAAGAGGATATTCCTGAAGAATGTGAATTGTATGTTGATGTAAACACTCATTTAGTGGCATATGCTAATATGTACAAGTTGGGGTCTAATATACACAATCAGGTGCTGAATAATGATATGGTGAGAGTGGTTGTTACCAAGGTGATATATGAAAATGCTAAAGTACCAGTGCCCACAGATGAGGTTACAACGGTTGGTGAGGCCTCCAATACTTTCATTAAATGGCCAAAAAGACTTTTTCAACTTACTTCTAATAAGGTATTCATTATATTTATTATTCTCGTTTTACACAATTGAGACCTTTTTAATATGTTGTCTAATATTTTATTAAATTTCACAGGTTCGGTCTAAGAAATATGATGTTCCACCAAAAAAGTCAGAACCTATCTGTCAAAAGTTGGTAGTAAAGGAAATGTATATGGATCAAACTTTGAAGTTTAAAGGTGAATTCGGTGGGACATATGCCTCTATTGAGCTCCTAAGGGAAGATATTGTAGACTTGTGTATGGGTATAAAAGAATTAGGCATCACTATCTTACAAGCGTGGCTCATGTAAGTATATTTTATTTGTAAATTTAATAATTTATCATTTACTTAATTTCATTTATAATGCAAATAACTTTCAATATGTTATAGATATCTACACCGCCTCTGTATGGAATTGGGCAACAATAATGTTTATGGATTTATCGATCCGAGTTTCACTCATAGTCAAAATGAGCGTGATAGTGTTCAGTCCTACATACAAAAGAAGATGTGTGATGATATAAAAGAATGTTACCTTACTCCTTATTTTAACAAGTAAGAATTTTCTCTTGTTATAGTCAATCACTTATAGTTGATATAAATTTATTTAGACATTAAATTGTATTTTGTTCTTGTAGTCATCATTAACCCTAAGAAGTTTGAAGTAGCCTTTCTCTATTCTTTGGGAAAGAAGCCAGATAAAATTTTTTATGACATTATTGAATTGTAAGTCTATACTAAATTTGTCAATTGATTCAACTTGTAAGTAAATAGTATAAAAGTGAAGTAGTAATATTACTATACTATGATTTTTAGTTTCTTGTTTCTATTGAAAATTTATCAAATGATTTATGGTTCTAAAATAAATGTAAGTATCTTATTTATTTTGTTAATTATAAATAATTGCATAGCTTTTGGAGCTTATAATAAGTTACAACGTGTGAGAAAACAGAAGAAGGTAGAATAGTTTTATCCCACTGTAAGTTGTTTACTTTACATACAAATGAATAATTCCATATATATTCTATAACAATTTTTGAGTAATATTTATTGACTAGACGTTCACATTTGATAATAAATTTTAGAGTCAAAAGCAACAAGTTAGTCATGAGTGTGGCTATTACATCATGCCTCACATGTTGAACATTATATCTGCTACAGTTGTTGGTTCATGGACACATGTAAGTAATATAATATTTTTAGCAAGTTGAATCAATTAATTAAAAAAAATTATGTTGATATATTAATTTAATTTTATGTCAACGTTTATTTATTTAGATATTTCAGGATTCAAATCCATTACAAAAAGAAGAAGTTAAAAATATTCAAGAACATTGTGCAAACATGATATTGGAACATATTGAAGCAAGTGCAGACAATGATATAAATTAGGTGCAATTCTGTGTTGGATGTTGTTTATTGGTTGTTCAGAAGATGATATGATTTTTTCAGGCCAATCTTTAAGGTTTCTTATTTTGATGATGTTTTGATAAGTACGTACTTGGTGCTTTAGAATTAACATGCACCTGTTTGTTTGTGTATTAGTATTATTAATATACGTAATTGTGTTTATAAGTTGTTGGTTTATTTTATTTGATAATTAGGGGTTTTATTGTGATCTGTGTTGTGTGATTTTTTTTTGGATGTAATTTGTTGATTGAGTTGGATAGTCTGATTTGCAGGTGTAAGTGTAGGATACATAAATTATTGTGGTTAGTTTGCTGGTATTTATTTGATAAACCGTGTGATTATCCAAAAAAAATAACAACTTTTTAGGTCGGTTAGTTATATCCGATTTAAGAAAGTAAGTTCTTAGGTCGGGTATAAATGGTCCGAGAGGTTTCTTAAGGCTAGACTTATTAAGTGGGTTCTGTCTAACCGACCTAATAATAGTTTGTTAAGTCAGGTCCGCAACCGACTTAAGAAGTCAAAACTTCTTATGTCGGTAAGTCTTAGATCGGGCTCGTACCCGACTTAAAAAGTCATTTTTAACCGACTTAAAAAGCTTTTTTTCCACTAGTGCTAGTTCTAGATAAAAATGTATTAGTAGTTGAGAAGTAGAGTTTGGAACGGGCGGGTATTGGACGAGGGTGAAGATGGAGTCTAATTCTTTTGTGGTATAAGGAGTTAGTAAGAAAACATTTTGCGTTACTAATTAACTTTATTTTGCAGGTGAATTTTTTTTAAAAAATGGTTATATATACTTAAATGTAACGAAGAATAGTCTAATAAAGAAGTGATTCCTCTAAAGGTATGTTTGGATTAATGGAATGAAATATAGTGGTATATAATCATATTTTATTGTTTGGATTTGTAAATAATAGATGAATGGAATAAAACATGAGGGAATCCATTCCATCATATTTCATTCAGTTCTTCAACTTTCTTTCCCTCTAATTTGGAGTGTTTGCAATAGAATGAACTAACTTGTTTTGTTTCATTCCGTCAAATTATAAATAAAAACACAAATAATTGAATGTAATCCCTCTTTCATTCTACCCAGTCTCTGTTCCACCAAATTTCATTTCGCTTTGCTCCATTTCACTTCGCTCTATTCTAATCCATCAATCTAAACATAATCTTAAGAAATCTTTATTTTTCTAACGGTTGATGAATCATAGACTTTCACTAAAATAAACCATACTCATCAAGATATTTTTAATTGAGAATCTCTATTGTATTGTGGTGGGTATGAAAAGGGGGAGAACTTCCATCATTAAGATATTTTTAAATTCTCATTTCACTCAACATATTTCTAACTCTAGTGGCAAGAGTTTCTATATTTGAAACTTCTATTTGACTCTAATATGAGCCAACAAAATTTTCCACTATAATGCTACAATTAAATTCCCTAAGAATTATTAAGGAAGAAAATTGAAGATGCCTCTATCATAGCTTTTATAAGAAAAGGCCACAAAATGTAACTGAATTTTCTCATCCCATCATGATGCTATCTTGTCATATGAGCCACTTTCTCAGGCAGTAACATGGTTGTTTGTGAATCCATGTCAACTTGTCAAGTATTTATACTTAGGAAGATAACTAAAGAAAGTGACAAAAGTGATACGTGTCGATCACCTCGTATAACTTTTAACATATACTTAAAATTTCAGTCCTAATAGCCATTCAAATGTTGAGCATTTGTTTTCCATTAAGTTAACACAATAGTGTTCCTTTTTGACATATGATTCCAAAGTCACTATGCGTCACTTCAATCTCATCTATAACCTATCTTGTACCTTTTTTGTTTTATCCTCTTGGAAACCTTACCCTACATGTCGCTGAACCATGTATAAAAGTGATTATTATATGACATAAGATTCACTTCCATTGATATTGGCCACGTTTCATAATCCTAGTAGCTCTTTTTACATGTTACAAAGCTGCATTTTACTTCACATACATTAGAGTTGGAAGAATAAATTTTCGTCCAATTTGAACTCGACACATTTTGAGGCTTCACAAAACTTATCTCAACATTGGAGCTTAGTGTTTTACCCCTCCATTGTTCTTTTGTCACGAGTTGTGATCATATATGTACATTAAAGGTGGATACATGAACCCTACATTTCTTTTTAAATGTTTTATTCTTCATTAGAAGTTCATGATTATTGTCTATAAAGCAACATTATATACAAATAAATCAAGTAATAAAATATTTACAATAATATTGTTAAATTGGACAAAAATAAATACTTAATTAGTACGACTTTGGGGTTTTGAACGAGTTAATGAGTAATCTAGCAACATTATGCCTGTAAGGTTGGTGCTATCGATTATGTTTATTGTTAAAGTGAAATCCAATCAAAAAATAAGATGATTTTGTGAAATTTTTGAACAAGTTAAAAAACAAGTTTCTATGAGTTTAATGTATATCAAAGTTGATCCATGGTTGAAACATGAATTTATTTAAAGTTCATATCAAATTACACATGTTTTTGTTGAAGTTGTATAGAAATATGTCTTACAATTTGAAGTGATAAAGAGAAGAAAAATATATTTTAAGAAAGTCAGAAATCAAAACACAAAAAATCAGTAGAAAATTTGGCGACGACTGAATTTGATCAAAACGTTAATAAACAATTAATAGGTGACCA